CCGTTTCCCTCTCCTACGGCGTCTCACTGCATGGGCTAAGGCGAGCACACCTTTGACTAGAATGTCCAGTAATTCCACAGAAGTTATCAGAAAAGTTGGGACTAAGTCCGCTGTAGTTGTACCCCTGATGTTCATGAGCTCATCTCTGGTGAAAGAGCTCCGGGTATCGCAGCACAAAACTGAATTAACGACAAAAAAACAACACAAACAATGAGCACCAACACATCGAGGCAGCCGTCCGTGGCGCCATCTTGATGTATGAGATGTATCAAAATATCAAATATTGACACCAATTATCAGCACCAATAATCTTTGTAAAGAACAATTAAAAATGTAAATGTATCTCGTCTCCATAGTAACGGTATAGCTGCTAGAGTTGAGGAGATGTGGAGAATCTTGCCACCCCTAACTCTGAATCACTCAATCACTGACCAGCAGACAGACCATCACCTTTGCTCATTAATTCACATTCGGGGAGCCGGCTTCTCGCCAGTTCAGTTGTTAGAACATCATATATACAGTATATAATAATATAGTTAATATTTTTAAATAGGTTAGTGTATCGAGATGATGTTGCCTCAGTTCACTTTGCCAACAAGCACATCAGGAAGCCGTGCGGCTACTGACCCTGCTGACTGTTGAGTTGGAGCTCCGCTGCATGTTTAGTAGTGTTTGACAACCGAAACATAAAGAAGCATTCAATGCTGCAGTAAGTTATTGCTGCCAACATGCTGAGATTAGTCCATCCAGAGGATATTTGCATTATTTGACTGAGCTCATTCTGCTTCACTTTGTTGTTGTTGGGTTGATGCACTTTGATTCCTCTGGTATTGGTCGGTTATGGGGGGCAGGCTTGGGTCTGTTTGTATATTGGCTATAGGAGGATGCCAATCATATCCATTTTCTTTCATATGTGGTTTAATGGAATCAAAACATGGCGTTGAATGAATCATTCACATTTCTCCACCACTCCATATTGTGTCCAGCATTAGCAACATGTTGTAGCATGGACTCAGAATAGTGAGTGATGTGAGAAGGGACTATACTTCACACCAGCACCATCATCGTTTAATTAGCTGCTTAGACTCCCTAACCTAAATCAATAACTGATGTCATCTGTAGCTCATTAGTGCTGCGTTCCATGAACCTTGGGATTGCAGTATGCATACATAAATGAATCTGTCAGCTTCTCTAAAGAGTGTTTTATTATCCCTCTGGTTGTGTTGCCTTTGTTTCCTCAGGAATAATAACTTTATTTATACAGCACCTTTTTAGCATTAAAAAAAGACAGAAAGCTCAGTGAGACGGTTGGATACGTTAAAAATAACTTAGAAATGAATGAAATAAAATAAAAGATAAAAATACACACACACAACCACCAATGAACACCGCAGTCCCAAAACCACTCAACCCCCCCCCATCAATGTCAAGTAAATAGTATAATATAGGCTTAATAAGCTTATCATTCAAAGCCATGTCAGTAATAAAATGTATATCAATTATTGGTTGTATTAATAGTAACAACAACCATCATTGTACTGGTCAGTTATGCATCAGTACTCTTTACCATAGAAGCATCAAGCTAACATAGCCTGCTACTGAAACACACAGTTAAGTAGTTAGGCTGTTAACTGTGAAGATCAGTTCTTAATCCAATATATACGGTTCTCAGGTCTATTGAGCGTCTCTTAAATGTGGACATGGGTTCAGAGAGACGTGTAGTTGGCTGTGTTTATTTACCATAAAACAGAAATTGAGACAAAACAGGAAATGAAAACAAACAAAGTGCTGGCTGCAGATTCAGTAGATGGTGAAGCGGAAAGTAAGGGTGTCAAAATCTTGCTTTTGACTTTCACCTGTGTCCATCAGCCAAAGATCACTATAGTGTTACACAAGTAAAGCTTTGCTCAGGTAAAGGCATACATTTAGGCTATGAAATAAAAATCCATCAACAATGTCAATGCACTGGTGAGAAACATGACTGACTAACAACGACAGCAAATTCCATTTTTAGACACAGCCTGCAAATAAGGGATTAATCTATAAATATACAACCGCCTCCTCAGCTTAGCCTGACAAGCAGAAAAGATGACACACTGTCAATTATACAAGAATGAGCAGCCAGCCGTCTTTGCCTGTAGCTGTTGATTAAGGATTTGTATCGAATAGCAGTTTGTCGGGAGTTCAGGATAGGACCCAATAACAACCACAAGATGCAGAATCCGGTACAGAACAGACTTTATTTTCACCGGACAGATGGCAGGAGCGGTGTGGTTTCCCTGTGGACCGACACCGGAAAGCAGGCAGGAGATACTGTGTGGTACCCGTGGGCCGACACAGGATAGCAGGCAGGAGATACTGTGTGGTACCTGTGGGCCGACACAGCATAGCAGGCAGCAGATACTGTGTGGTACCCGTGGTCCGACACAGGATAGCAGGCAGGAGATACTGTGTGGTACCCGTGGGCCGACACAGGATAGCAGGTTTGAAGACGGTGGCAGACGATACGGCCTGCAGGACCAGGGTTGATATAGTGCCAGGAGGATGATTAGTGGGATCAGGATCTGGTGTGTTAGCCTGCAGGAGGTAATCGGCTGGAGTGTCCGCAGCTGTGCACCAATCAGGGGTGTGGCCATGGGAGGTGTCTGGAGGCAGAGGACAAACATAGAGCACATGGCACACAATAACAAACAGGGGAACGACAGAACACATGAGGAGAGGAGATGAGGGGAAACAGAGGTAACACACAACGGGTCAGACAGGGATCCTGGCACAGTTAGTCTAACACTTGACTACATTGCTCACGTAAAGGTCATAAGGAGACATTACATCAAACAAGAGCACCACAGATTGTAGAATTCCTCCAGATGATCCTTCTGTAGTCTAGTTTAATGTTTTAACAGGAATCATATTACTCAATTGACTTTGCTTCATTATATTTTGTCCCCAGCTAGAAGACCCTCTCATCTGATGCAAGCATAGACCAGATCAGCTATAAAGTCATCTGTTCACCCTTTTATCAAGTACATACACATAAAGTCAGTTCTATAACTTGGCAGAGGGAGGTTCACAGTCAAATTCAATTTACAGAATTTTATAACCGAGAACCCGGTGGTGGACACCGGAGGTGAGGGAAGCCGTCAAGCTGAAGAAGGAGACCTTCAAGGCCTGGTTGGCCCAGGGGTCTCCTGAAGCTGACAGGTACCGGCAGGCCAGAAGGGCTGCAGCTGCGGTGGTCGCGAATGCTAAAACTCGGGCATGGGAGGAGTTCGGGGAGGCCATGGAGAAGGACTTTCGGTTGGCCTCAAGGAGGTTCTGGCAAACCATCCGACGGCTCAGGAAGGGAAAGCAGGGCTTACCCCAGGCTGTTCTCAGCAGGGGGGGAACTGCTAACCCGGATGGGGGACATCGTCGGGTGGTGGAAAGAGGACTTTGAGGAACTCCTAAACCCGACCAACATGTCCTCTGCAGAGGAGGCAGCGCCTGAGGACCTAGGGGGAGGCTCACCCATATCCCTGGCAGAGGTCGCTGAGGTAGTTAAAAAGCTCCTTGGTGGCAAGGCGCCTGGGGTGGATGAGATCCGCCCTGAGATGCTGAAGGCGCTGGACATAGTTGGGCTGTCCTGGCTGACACGCCTCTTCAATGTCGCATGGGGGTCGGGATCAGTGCCCATGGAATGGCAGACCGGGTTGGTGGTTCCCATCTTCAAAAAGGGGGACCGGAGAGTGTGCTCGAAATACCGGGGTATCACACTACTCAGCCTCCCGGGGAAGGCTTATGCCAGGGTGCTGGAAAGGAGGCTCCGACCGCTTGTCAAACCTCGGATTCAAGAGGAGCAGTGCGGATTCCGTCCCGGCCGTGGAACAGTGGACCAGCTCTTTACCCTCGCAAGACTACTGGAGGGGTTCTGGGAGTTTGCCAAACCAGTCTACATGTGCTTTGTGGACTTGGAGAAGGCTTTCGACTGGGTCCCTCGGGGGTCCTTGTGGGGGGTGCTGCGGGAGTATGGGGTGCCGGACCCATTACAACGGGCCATCCGGTCTCTGTACGACTGCAGTAGGAGCTGTGTCCTCATTCTCGGTAATAAGTCAGACACGTTCCCGGTGGGTGTTGGCCTCCGCCAGGGCTGCCCTTTGTCACCGGTCCTGTTCGTGACTTTCATGGACAGGATATCTAGGCGCAACCTCGGGGCGGAGAACGTCAGGTTCGGGGATCTTAGGATCGCCTCTCTGCTGTTTGCAGATGATGTGGTCCTGTTAGCCTCCTCGGATCATGACCTCCAGCATTCACTGGGGTGGTTTGCAGCCGAGTGTGAAGCGGCGGGGATGAGAGTTAGCACCTCCAAATCTGAGGCCATGGTTCTCTGCCAGAAACCGGTGGATTGCTCCCTCCAGGTGGGGACGGAGTGCCTACCTCAAGCGAAGGAGTTTAAGTATCTCGGGGTCTTGTTCACGAGTGAGGGTAAGATGGAGCGGGAGATCGACAGACGGATCGGTGCAGCTGCAGCAGTAAAGCAGGCGCTGCACCGGACCGTCTTGGTGAAGAGGGAGCTGAGCCGGAAGGCAAAGCTCTCAATTTACCACTCGGTCTACGTTCCTACCCTCACCTATGGTCACGAACTCTGGGTCGTGACCGAAAGGACAAGGTCGCGGCTACAAGCGGCCGAAATGAGCTTCCTCCGTAGGGTGGCCGGGCTCAGCCTTAGAGATAGGGTAAGGAGCTCGGTCATCAGGAGGGAGCTTGGAGTCGAGCCGCTACTCCTTCGCGTCGAAAGGAGTCAGCTGAGGTGGTTCGGACATCTAATTAGGATGCCTCCTGGACGCCTCCCACTGGAGGTTTTCCAGGCACGTCCAACTGGGAAGAGACCCCGGTGAAGTCCCAGAACACGCTGGAGAGATTACATCTCCCAGCTGGCCTGGGAACGCCTCGGAATCCCCCAGAATGAGCTGGAACATGTTGCCGGTGAGAGGGAGGTCTGGGTCAGCCTGCTGCCACCGCAACCCGACCCCGGATAAGCGGAGGAAAATGGATGGATGGATGGAGTTTTATAAAATATTTACATTCCAATCCAACAATCAAGTTATCTTCTCTTTATCCCTGGATTCTATTCTATTCTATTCTGTCTCTCCGGATGCCTCTAAGCATACCAACCTTCACTTGTGCACATAATTTAACCTTAAGTGCAGAGAAAAGCCTTCTCATTGATGACCTTGATGGCTCCTTTATTTTGTCATGTCTTACGTGAGCACAGAGATGTTTAAGTAGCAACATGTAAGCTTTTACACATTTCATCTAATGAGCTGCTTATTTGTTTTTGCCCCATTTACAGCTAAACATGTTCAGGATGGAAAGTCCCAGCAGCTTTTCCTCTTTGCATTTATCTATTTATTCCAGACTGCACAACAGTTTTCACAATCTGTGTAAAGTCATGGAACCTCGCTGACACTCAATCTATCTACTAACAGTGAGAAGAACTGTTTCCAAGTTGAGCAGCTTAGAGAGATAACAATGATGGAGTCCTGAATGCAGACACATGGTGACTGACGTGCCCTGCAGCTTTCAGGTGGTGCATGTTCCCTGAGCTCAGGATGAGAGGAAGGGTGATGGAAGGTCTGCACACATCGGAATACTTTCTCTCTGCATGCTGCTGGACTTGCAGTGTGAGATAACTCTTCTTATCCTGTGTCTGTGTGTGAACCTCATTTCTTTCTTTCTTCATTTGTCTTTCGACCTGTTCCTCCAGCCAGCAGTACACAGAGGTGTAGGCCCGCCAGGTGCTCAGGTGTCTCTGGAGCAGCAGGCCTACATGCTGCTAACGGAGCCAGAGAGGCAGACCATGGCCTACTACCTGCAGGAGTACAAGGAGGGACACATAGAAGTGGAGCCGCTGGCCATGGCTCTGTTTGAGCTCTTTAACACACATGCAAAGGTACAGCAGCCTGCAGCAGCAGCTTGGTGACTCTACCGCTGGTCCATGGGGGGTTTAAAAGGAGCTGCACTGTTTGAGCTTGTAAAATAAAGTTCAGAAAAAGGCTTGAATGTTTCAGAAAGTGGGAATATACGTATAACCTGATAATAAGACCAACTCATATGTCTTGAACAAGGCTTTTTTACAGAAAGGTGTTCTAATAAGGATCAGAATCAGAATCAGAATCAGAACCGGTTATTGCCAATGTATGTAACATACAAGGAATTTGTCATGGCAGGTGGTGCATAACATTAGACAATAACATTGAACAATAAACAACAATCAACAGTGCAAGAAATAGAAACATATTACAATTTACAATAGAATTTAAAAGAATATAAGGAACCCTTTATTAATGGTGTTTAAGATGTAACAAAATGCTCTATTGATGGTTTATGAAAATCAGTTATAAACCATTAATTGTTATAAAATTCATTGTTGTATCGTTATTAATATTGTTTTGGTACATTTTTATAGTTAATATACATATTTAACCTCAATAGTAACTTTTAAACAACCTGAGCTCAGCAACTCTCTGCTCTTTCTCTCATGCGTGATCTTATCACTGCTTTGGTTTCACTTCTCCAATCCTGCAGTTGTCCATGTTGTCTGAGGTGAGGAGTCTGGTTGCTCACCAGGACCTTGAGTTGTACGACAGGCTGGTGTTGCACCGTGAGAGGGAGGCCAACCAGAGCTGGCATGGAGGCCTGGGAGTGCTCCATCCACAGGGCCACTGTCACCACTTCCCTTGTGTGATCCATGATACAGACCAAGCCGTCCCTGCTACGGTAGATCATCTACTATACACAAAGATGTGACACCCGTTGTAATATTGTGTACATAACTTGCAGTGTTTATATGATGAAGACACACAGTCCTGTACATGGGCATGATGGTCATTATGTCTCCGCTTTGCTCGTCTCTTGCACTGCATTATTTGACATCTATTCATAAGACCCACATAGATTACTGAAAGTGTGTGTGTGTGTGTGTGTGTGTGTGTGTGTGTGTGTGTGTGTGTGTGTGTGTGTGTGTGTGTGTGTGCCACTGCACATATCATGTGTTTCCCTCTCCTCCAGTCTCCTGGCATCAGTGTTTGACACAGAGCAACTTGTCTTAGTGGCAAGTCAGCGACTATGTATTGATGTTTAACTGTCGCCCGCATCGATCCACAGAGACCTCATTGTGCCAGCGTACAGTCTGCTTCTCATCTACTTCCTCCAGCAGTTTGGGCCTACAAGACCTAACACTGCACGTCAGTCTGACAGCACTGTTTCATCTGCGCTTGAACAGCTTCCTCTGCATCCTTATGTTTTGAGTTCTTTTCTATAATTCTGTAGCTTCCCAGTGGTGTTCCTTATGTATTCAATCCGAACAGCTGCAGTGCGCACCAACAGCTAGCAGGTAGCACACGTGAGCAGGCCAGACGTAGCTCTGGAATCATGTAGCCACACCTCCACATGACTCTGCTCAGAGCAGCGCTGCTGAAGCCTGTATTATTATTTTAATAATAATAATAGGGTTCCTATGATATTGTAGGGTAGATTAGGACCATAACATAAATGAAGCTACACGTTTGTGTTTAATTCTCTAAAAGAAGGAAGATTCAGAGTGAACAACGAATGAAATAAAACGGCTCTCCGGTTTTATACTTGAGTGGAGACAGATTCAACTTGAGTGTACATGTACCACACTATATTTAATTTATGTTCTGATTCATCCTTTAGTTTAATCATCTGTGTTAACTGAATAACCAGAAACAACTTTTCCATTCTAAGCCTGTTATTTCTCTTCTTGTGTGACACAGTGATCTGCTGGCCCGGGCTCATTCTGAGGAGAGCTGAGTGTGAAATACAGAAAGGGAACATTTTACTGCACAGTCAATACTTTTACCGTAACTACATTTAGCTGATTACATACTAAGTAGTTACGTTTTGAATGCAGGACATTTACGTGTAGTGGAGTATTTTCACTTTTCAGTAAAACCAAGGTGCTTATTGTTGATTTTAGAAAACAGGAGGCCAAGACAATAAATAAAAGCTTTAACTTTGAAAATACTTCGGAGAAGCAGGACAGGAGTACCGGCAATGTGCCGCTGTGGACTCCACGTTACTTCAAACAAACCATGCGATCAAGACAACGGCAGATCAGCAACTCCTGTGTTCTGTGCGAGAATGTTGTTTTGTTGAAGTAGTCTGGCGGCTTTGAAGAGAATGAATGAATGCTTGCGTTCCCTAACGTAAAGGGCTGTCTGATGGTAAAGAGGTCAAAATATTCTAAATGTAGCGTGTCGGCCGCCATCTACTGTGGGTAGTATTGACAATAACGTCCTCATATAACACCACTTCAAGAAGTCCTAACTGTAGTGATTAGCTTACTGTTGTATCCTAAGTCACTGCTTTTTGCTAACAGCTGAGTGAGCGTTTTTATTTGAAAATAAAATCTGAAAAGATTGCACGCTCAGCTGCATGCTGCATGAAAACCTTGTCAATTGTCAAATAGAAGTGGACATGGAGCGAGACAAATCAATAACAGAACCAAAGCAACATACTTTGATGTCACGATGCTAATGTCTAACCATCTTAACTTCCTTGCACTACTTGTGTTGCCCTGTGGGGCAAATCCCATCCATCTGGCAGCTGGATTAAATAATATTAAATATAAGTTTGTATTTCAGGTTTAGCCCCACAGTACTACAGTGCCTCATACTGTTTCTTTCAGACTGATGGCACAATTGGTGAATGGACAGAAAACCACCAGGAAGAGAACACAAATGCCTTACAAGACATTGAACTGGTATGTGTTGTTCTTTGTTTTATTTGCATTGAAAATATGATTATGCAGGGGAAACAGTTTCGTCTGTGAATGATTTCCATGTATGTCCTTCTTTTAAAATTAAAAATGTTCAAATACATCCTGAAGGTGCGAGATAAGTAGATCCCGAAGATAGACCAGAAAAGGCAACAAAGACCAGCAGGGCCATCTTGGGGCCATTTTTGGCGTCGTATTTTGCGTATTTCTCCGTAAAAGGAGTGAGAGCTGTTTCTGAGCTACAGCACAGAGGAAGCTGCTTTACAGCCAGCCGGTAGAAACAGAAACTACGGGGAGAAAAAAGCGTGTAGAGCAACCATATTTCCACATCTTTTTAGGTGACTTAAGGATTCATTTTGACAAAACCATAGTTGCTGATTGTTGGAAGAATGGAAACACTAACGAAAACATGCCTGTTTACTTTTATTTTGTTTCTGGCTAGTTTGAAATTAAACAATTAGGCTATTCTTCTGTGCAAGAGATGAAATTTGAATTCAGAAGGCTTATGATTTGGGCATCGAGATCTCCTTCTGCAACTGGATACAGGACTTTGCAACCAACAGACCACACCTCCTCAATCTGAAAACTGGCATCCCACAGGTCTGTGTCCTCTCATCTAGTCCCTTTTCACCTATGACTGCACATAATTCTAATACCATTATCAAGTTTGTAGATTACACAAAGGTGGTTGGTCTCATCAACAATGATACGTAAGTCGGTCTACAGCCAGGAGGTCCATCACCTGGTGGCTTGGTAAGCTGACAACAAGGCAAACTGCCGTCAACACCAAGAAGACTAAAGACCTTATCGCCGACTTCAAGAAGAGCATAGGTGGCACATACACCCTGTAGAATAGTCTAGCTCAAATATCAAAGGTGGTGTGTAGGCAAACTTAGCAGAGTTACCAGAGGATAATGTTTATTTACACAGCTCTCCATTACGTGTGTAACTCAGGGAAAACAACAAATAAATACAAGAAAAATAACTCGTGCCACAGGTCACCTCTACTCTCCTTCCATGAGCAAAAATCTAACTGTACAATATAGGTTGTCCAGTTCACACCTAGACTGCTTCAGGCTATACCACAGGGACATCCCTGACATTCTTGGACTAATTCACTAGCTCATTTACATTACCAAATGGCTCTCTGCAGGGTAAGTATTCCTGACACATTATTGTAATTTCACTAACAAGGACCAATCCAACAACGATATGAGTTTCGAGAGGTTTATTGCGAGAGGGATGAAGGGGTCAAGGTAGAGGGATGAAGGGATGTAGGGTAGGGGTCGAGGTAGAGGGATGAAGGGATGTAGGGTAGGGGTAGAGGTAGAGGGGTGAAGGGGTAGGGGTCGAGGTAGAGGGATGAAGGGGTAGGGGTCGAGGTAGAGGGATGAAGAGGTTGAGGTATAGGGGTGAAAGGATGTAGGGTAGGCATCGAGGTAGAGGGGTGAAGGGGTCGAGGTAGAGGGATGAAGGGATGTAGGTAGGGGTCGAGGTAGAGGGATGAAGGGGTCGAGGTAGAGGGGTGAAAGGATGTAGGGTAGAGGTAGAGGGATGAGGGGTCGAGGTAGAGGGGTGAAAGGATGTAGGGTAGGAGTAGAGGTAGAGGGATGAAGGGGTTGAGGTAGAGGGATGAAGGGATGTAGGGTAGGGGCAGAGGTAGAGGGATGAAGGGGTTGAGGTAGAGGGTTGAAAGGATGTAGGGTAGGTATCGAGGTAGAGGGATGTAGGGTAGGGGGATGGAGGGATGAAAGGGTGTAGGGAAGAAGAAGGGAGGAGGGTAGAGAGGGTCGTAGAAAGAAGGTTGGGGGAAGCTATGGTGGACCGCTGGTGTCCGGTGGCTGGCGGGAATGGAGCACCGGCTAGGAGCACTGGCTAGATCAAGCTTCTGTGGTTGCTGGAAGTAGGCGGCGGGGGCGCTGGCATCCCTGTGGGAGATGCCATGGCTAGAGTGAGCTGATGTGGTTGCTATAAGTAGGAGCAGCAACGAGCCCATAACCCCAGCAAGAATAATTGTCTTGAACGTGGACGCAGAAGATTGTTGTTGAGACAGCCTATGTTGTATATCCTTGCTCAGAGTGTTTAAATGACTAAAATGAATGTTGATAGTGTTACGTAGTGCAGCAATTGCACTAATTGAAGAAGCAAGGACTGATTGAATCGGACTTGAGACAAGACAGACTGCCCAGCAGATTTATTGTGCATTCACATGTTTGTAGGATTGACCCATTTCGGGACTTAGGAAATTGTTCTTCTGACTTCTTTGTGTTCATAAGCTTTAAGTTATCATGTGGAAACAACATGGACGCTATAGTAAAATATATCATAATGTGTAAGAAGAACATGTAAGGTACGAGTAGTTGGTGAAGAAGAGTTCTCATTTACTTTGTCACACACCCATACAGTATCAATGAGACGCAGGTTGAGCGCGTCATTAGCTTTACGTTTCTGGGTGTTCACATCTTTGTGAACATTTCAACCCTGATTAAGAAGGCTCACAAGCGGCCGTTCTTATTTGAGGGGACTGAAGAAGGTCCATCTGTCTGTAGCGTATTTTTAGGCTTGTATCTGCATTATTTCAAATAAATATTTTCAGTACAAGTGCTTTTTTTTCAGGTGAACCTGAAACTTTTCAATTTGAGCTGTGTTCCATCTTCATTCACTATTAACCAGTAACATATACACAATATTTACACATCTGAACAAGTGTCTCACAAGTTTTACCTGTATTTAACCATCAAAATTATTAAAATATACCTTGTAGTTAGAGATCTACACTCTCTTTAGTATGGGTATGCAATTTTCGAGCAGAGGCCTAAAAATAGGGCTAGGGCCCTATATTAAAGTATTTATTATTGTCTGCATTTTTTTTAGGATGTGAAAACAGTGGGAAACAACTGGCCTGTCTCTGTTTCATGTAAGAAAAAAAAATCCACTGATCCACAGGTTTTGCTATGTCATCCAGGACTGAGATCTTAAAGATTGTAATGTAAAGATTATTTTTCTTCTTTTGTAATTCATTAGGCACCGAGAGAGGAGCTACACCCTCCATGTGGGATTCATGTATACTGTTGCCTTATTTTCATTGACAGGATGAAAGGCAGGCTTCAAATGAATCTCCTCCATTCTTCAGGACTGCCCCTCTCCAGGCTCAGACCAAGCCGTCTAAAGAGAAGGAGCATAGCCGGAAGCCTTCAGCTTGGCGGATGCAGCCCCGTTCCAGCTTGCTCTTCACTGGCCCCACCTGGCTGCTCCAGGAGTGCCTCCACAAGTCACTCAAAGCCCTCCCCACCACCCACCAGCCCTCACCAGTCTCTGCCTATCACACATGCTCTGGTGCAAGCCACCATGCTTCGCTAAATGCTCTCCATCACACCTGCCAGAGTTCCCTTCAACTCTCTAAATCTGAACACCAGAACCACCCCCACTTTGCTCATCACTTCCACCACCATGCTGCCCACCACAGCCAGCCCAGTTCAGGACACCACACCTGTCCAGGCTTCCTACACCACCGAGACTCCTCCAGCTCTGCAAAGCCAGAGGCATCTGTCAAACTCGCTTCCAGATCCAGCTCCTATGAGAAGTCCACCTACTTGTCAAAGTCTGCGTCCTCTTCCAAGGCAGCCTCTCCCATGCAATCCCGTCATCCATCACCCCATCTCTCGCCATGTCCCTCCCCCTGCCCCTCTCTCATCACACCTACTGCTCCACCCTGTAGTCTTGACCGTCCCTGCTCACCTGCCCTCACCCAGAATGTCATCATAACAAACATGAACCGGCTGTCTGCAGACTCCACACAACAGCAAAGAGGTACATAAATTGTGTGTCTGTGAGTGTGTCTGTGTTTGGCTGTGGGTGTTGACTCAATGTATGCCTCAACATAAGATACAATTATTTGGGCAAAATTGTAATTTCCTACAAATAACAACAACATTACTTATGGGATGGTATTGAAAGGACAATTACATAAACAAATACATATTTTCCTCTTATCTGTAATGCTATTTAGCACTCTAAATTGTTTTGGTTTGAGTTGCCTAGTTTTGCAGATACCAGCTATCCGCGTTCTCTCACAAAGATAATGGGAGTATATGGCACTCGGCTTGTGATGTAAAAAGTCCCGAAAATATACATATGAAAAACTTAACAGCAATATCTCTTTTCAGAAATCGTGACCCAGTTGCTCAAGATAATCCACAGACCTTGATGTGAGCTGTTGAGGTTTTACCTGTTACCAGGCTCTCTGATGTTTAATCTTTTCATTCCGTAATCCATAACATCATTGTTAGACTGCATGGAGACCAACTAAAACGCGAGAGAAAGCAAATTACTATGTTGTAGCAGTAAAGCTGTTGAAACCGCTGTGAAAACTCCCTCATAGCAGGGCGCATCAGCAGCTCAAAGGGACCCCTCACCAATTCACCACCAATGGCAGTCCCACTGCAGGGAGGAGGCATGCATCATGGAGCACTGTCTCCTGACCCCTTGCAAGAATCGCTTCACAAGAGGACCAAAGACCGTTCTGTCACCAAAACCCTTGTGGCAGGCGGAAATGGCTGGTGCATACACTTGACCATGAACACTGCCAGTAGCTTGAGGAGGCCACACAACGTTTACCAGTCTACCTACCTACCATCAGTGAGGGGGAAATGGTAAGCTAGCGTGGCTTGTGCTTCCTATCATCCAAACGAAGGTTGGGCAGCTGCCATAACCCCCAGTATTTGCTATTGTAGGCTATACCCTGCAAAGTTTTGAAGCCACTACTCTACTTGAATGAATGCACCTGTAAGTCAACAGTGGTGAACCAATTGCCCAGCTCAAGTAACCGCCTGTTGGTTAACATATGGAATGTGTTGCGAAGTGCCAACACAGGTTTGTGTTAGAGTAAAACCTTTTCTGTCTCTCGTGAATGGGGACTACAGGCACAGCTTGTTTCTGTAACAGGTCTTGCATCGCTGCTGAGAGGTAACCCATCTCCTTCTGGGAGGATAGTTTCATCTCCTTGATGCCCATGAACGAAGAAGGAATGCTGTAGAGCTGGAAAAAATAACAAAGTCTCAGTGTCCTGTTCTTCCAAGCTATTAACATGCCGATGCTTTTCGCCACTCCTCCTAAAACTGTGTTAGAGGACCAGCAAAAATGCTGTGATATCCTGTCTCAGACCTCAGAGCCGCAAGACCTTCCCTAATGGCCAGCCCATGAGAGACCGATATGGAAAAGTCTGTACAGGAGTTGAAGTCCCTGAATGCATCAACGTTTGGCTGTCTTGCAAAAGATGCAGCAGTCATCATGGCACTGCATCTAATACCTCCCGTTTCCAGTGTGGAGATTGGTGAGGGAGAACAAATGGCTGAGCCGGAGACGAGTGGCAGATGATTCCTCCTCCTCAACACATTTAAAGCGTTAAATGACACATGAAACCGATCTGAAGAGTTTAATCATGATGACGAATGGCATTGGTAACCCGACATGCCCCACAACAGTCTTATTGCTGGACTTCTGCAGGAAGCTGATGTACTGAACACAGATGTCGCCGATACTTTCGTCATTATAATCTGGCGGACATGGATCTGGTGTCTCTGCAGGGATGATCAGAGGCATCAGCATTAATCAGGCTCGCTATCATGGCAGCAAAGCGTCACATTGAAGCGTCAGAAGTGATCCCATGGCTGCTTGCATTAAATCTTGATCATCGCTTGGCAGGCCAGGCAGGCTGTTGACTGCTAAACACCAGGAGGTCCATTCCGGGCTTTGCTGCGTGAGATTGGCCCCATGAAGTCCTCTCCTATCATCTCACCTGGTGATCTGAGCTGGCTTGTCATTAGAACCTTTGTATTGCTGAAAAGTATGGCATGCACGGACATGACTGCAAAGATCTTTGTGAATCCTTGGCCAACACGCCACATTCTTCAGGAGTGTCTTCATCCTCCAAAATGTCCTCAAAAATGGATCATGTGGAAGTAAGTGAGAAATTCTGCTGAGCCTCTTCAATGTCCTGAAGGGTAGATCAGACCAGTGCAATTTAAGTCATACACACACTGCCTTCTTGTTGTTGACGTGTGCAGTATAAAGCATCATGAACGTTACAGCAACCTCTCTTATAATGGACCCGGAAGCACAATGCTGCAGAGTCCAAATGGTGAGACGGGATGATGCTTGACAGTTGAATGCCCAGTTAAGAGCACTGTGGTCTGTGATTACATCACACATTTCCCCTTCTAGATAATGCAGCCACTTCACTGCCAACACTACTGGAAGGAATTATTTCTCTGAGGTGGAATACCTCAGTTGGAGAACTCTTGAAGCAAAGGCGTTGCATCTTTCTTCTCACTCAATGGTCTGCATCAAGACAGCTCCCACATTGCTGAAAAGAAAACAAGGTATGGCCTTGGCTGAGCTAGCACAGGTGGTGACTGCAACAAGCCCAAAAGGCAGCCTAACAGTGAGCAGGCCACTTTCATAATACCCCCTTTTCTAACAAAAAAAAGATGGGCAGTGGGTGCTGGGTAGGCTATGATGGCATCAACCTTTTCTGGGTCTACTTCAACTCCTTTACCTGAGACCACATTCTTTTGCATTTTTATGCACCAGTGGCATTGGAGAGGCATGGTGGTGTGATTTAGCATTAACTCCCCTGTAGTCCAAACAGAGGCAGGGTGTCCCAGCCTTTCTTAGGGTCAAAACTACTGGGCAAGCCTACGCAGAAGAGGACAGTTATATGACACCATTGCTGAGCATTTTCTTAAGTTGCTCCTGAACTTGCTGTTGTAGTGACACTTGGAAAGCTCTCCTTCGCACTGGCAGCTCCTCTGTTGTTGAAACCTTGTGCTTTACGACAGCAGTTGTGCCAGTGTCTAAACTATAGATCACTTCTGCAGCACTGGTCTGACCACGTCAGGTTGGGCTTCCAAGAGTGTAATGGCAGGCTGTTTGACCCTGGAATCTTCCATTACACTAAGTTATGATAAAGTTGACTGAAGGCTCTGCACGACCGCACTGCAGTGTATCAGGAGCATTTGATAAGGACTTTTATTCTTTCCCCCCTGGCATAACATATTTCCTCAGGTGCTAGCACATATGAAGTCCAGGCCAAGAAATAGAGGCATGCAAAGTTGGTCGTCACAGAGTTCATGTATGCAGACAGTCTGCAAACAGTTTGGGGGCATAGTGGAGGGTGAGAAGTAAGGTCTTCCTTATTGCCTCGCTCTCTTGCCCCTTGGTCATGATACATTTTGGGATCTCACTCACACTCAGTGCCTCACCTGCCTTCCTTATGTCACTGCACAGGGTTCTACTCTTCAAGGAGTATGTGCACCTTGAATCAAGGACAGCTTGACCCTTTGAGCCTTGTATTCCTATTGACAGAACACCCAGTGAGAGAATTCTCACACTGCTCAATGAAATCTGTGACATCAGTCGAACTCCTTAACTCACTAAACAGGGGAAACTCTATTTTAATACGTCATTTGATTGTGGCTCTAGGCAGTGATGGGAAAGTAACAGCCTCGTCTTGATACACTATTTAAGGCAAGGCAAGTTTATTTGTATAGCACATTTCAACAACAAGGTAATTCAAAGTGCTTCACATAAAACCATTAAAAGCATCAAAACATAAGGCAAAATAAAAGGAGATTTAAAAACAATTAAGAACATTCATTGAAACAATAAAAACAGTGTAAGAAATAAAATACAGTAGTAAAATGCAGAAATGCAGGAAATTGATTAATATCCTTGAATCTGGTTCAATTAAAGGCAGCAGCAAACAGAAAAGTCTTCAATCTTGATGTAAAGGAGCTGAGGGTCTCAGCAGACCTGCAGCTTTCTGGGACTTTGTTCCAGATATGTGGAGCAGAAAACCTGAACGCTGCTTCTCCATGTTTAGTTCTGACTCTGAGAACAGAAAGTAGACCGGTCCCAGACGACCTAAGGGGTCAGGATGGTTCATAAGGTAGCAGCAGATCAGAGATGTATTTTGGCCCTAAACCATTCAGTGCTTTATAAACCAGCAGCAGGATTTTAAAGTCAATTCTTTGTTTGACAGGAAGCCAGTGCAAAGACCTCAGAACTGGAGTGATGTGATCCACCCTCCTGGTCTTAGTGAGGACTTTAGTCTCCTCAAGACCCTTAAACGATTGAGTGTGCTGATTTTCTTAGGTCTCAACCCTCAATTGAAGGTCCTGAAGCAGTTCTGTAAATGTGACTGCCTCAACATCCTCATACTCATCAGACTGTTGTTGTTCCTCCTCAGACAGCTCTAGATACATGGAACAGGCTGCTTTATCGCTGATGTCACTTTTATTTTGTCTAGTTGTGGCGTGAAGGTGGGATGAGGGTGTGTGTTTTCTTTATGTGTACTGCTATCCATGGCTGCCCCCTGCTGGCTTGTGGTAGACATTTGTGCGTGCAGCAATAGTCATGCAGGCAGGGAGGATGTACCTGTATGCAATGTAGTGTTGAGTGTATCGGCTATGTGTTGGCTGCCCCCTGCATATACTTTTAAGCAGCGTATTACATTTACCTAAACCTCCTAAAGGTTTCAATTATTCATGAGACCACAACACAACTTCACTCCACAAATGACATATGGAAACAAAAGAGACAGTTTCCTGCGTATACCAGCATATATTATTATAACTCAAATCAATCTTTGTCCTTTGTTCAATAAGCTGTAGAACCAACGCAATCTCACCACAGTCCTTTCAGATGATGGGTCTTGTCTAGCATTAGCCCAATGTTTTCACAACATAGAAACCACATAGTTTGGTTAAAGTTCTTGGTTGAAGGGTCACCTGGAAATCATGCTTGCCAAGGCCACTCAATGCCGACGGTCTCGCTTGTCTGCGCGCTCCATGCTCCCGTATTGCGCTTTACAAATGTCCCATTTAGTGCTCAAGAGGGACATGAAAAGAGTAACAACAATAATAAAAGTCCATGTTTACATCGTGTCTTTACATACCAGGCCACTGATAACGCCAACAAGTACAGAACATTACATGTGGGAAAGAAAATAACACACAAAGGATCCCAATCCCAACTGCCATTCAAAAAGATTGGACTCAAGTGACCATTACAATCTATACAATATATAAGTTACAACACCTTATAAAGGATGCAGAAATCATGAAGCAGTGTGCGGCTATGTTGTAGAAAACTGACTATTCAGCATTTAGAATGTACTATGTCTGGTCTAGAATAAAGATTCTCTCTTCAGTTGAGAAGATAAAGTCCACTATCCGAGAACTGACACTATCTATTGTTGTATGTAGTGATTGTTTGTACACTGTAAACATTATCGTGTCTCTTCCAGGGTCCACCCTGTCCCAGCTGTCAGACAGTGGCCAGACTCTGAGTGAGGACAGCGGGGTGGATATCACTGAAGCAGGAGGCCTCAGTAAGCATGGCAGCCCTCGACCCAGCAAGAACCAGCAGGGCACTCTGGAACAGCCAGGGACCCATGCACTTCTTCCAGGGTCCAGACAAGTGAGGGCTTCACATTGTCATAAATAACCACTTCACCATGTTTCATTCAACCCACTCATCCAATCAAATAATCAACAGATGAACTGATGAGCAGAAATTGGTATGAATTCAAAAAAAAAAAAGGAGCAGATTATAAAAGAGATGCATGGCACAGATGTCCCTAACACCCCGTATGAGTAGCTACGTAGATCGTCTGTACCTTACTACTGCCTATTTTAAGTTTCTCTCCATTTTTGACTAACGCTGCCAAGTCCTCACCCAGGGAACTTACCTTAAGCTCCTCTGGTAGAGTCAGTCATCACTTCTGTATCACACGTTCAGGGACAGGGGAAGAGGGTTAAACTAGTCTAAAAACCAGAGTACTTAGTTTGGTTTCAGACACTTACAAATGGTAAAGCTGTGGTTTTATTAAGGTCACAACAATCACATACAACAATTTCACTTCAATGAAACAGTCTCAGTGCTACAACAGCTAATGCTGACACTCCTGCTGTTAACAGGCTCTCTGTCAGCTCTCGCTGTGACTTTGTTCTTTGTTCTTTTTTCCATGCTGTCTTCTGATAGCAGAAGGGTCTTCTAGTCCCCCTCAGGGCGTTAGACCTTTAAGCCTATTCGTCTTGTTAAAGAAGTATGATCAGACCCTACGCTGGAAGTCGCTTTTTCTCTCAGCTCTGCTGGCTCCTCTTATGCTGGTCTGAGGCTGGTACATCCCTCAGGTTCATGAGTCACTCACACATGAGTCCTCCTGCTTCTAGCTCAGACACAGAATGTAACTAGTTTGATCCTGTACAGGGAGGATTATATAAGTTTTGAGTGACTATTTTATATGCAGTTTATATGTTTCATCACTCCTATCATGAAATAAAACAGGTTATATGTTTCAACGGTTGTACTTTTAAATCAAACAGGTTACAGGTTATAATAGTTGTACTTTTATGCTTTCATACTTTTCTACGATCTTTCTACAAAATAAACGAATCCTCTTGACATGTCCTGTAAATGAAGCATTGGGCTGAAGTCTGAGATGAAGAAAGAGAATAAAGATATACACTAGGATGAGCTCTTTTAGTTTTTGAACTTAAAGCTGTGGTGGGTATGTTGTAACAGTTAAAAGAACATGACAGTGACACAAGCCTGTCAACACATCCATCCTGCTGAGCAGACATACGGCATGTACATTCTAATCATGTTTGTACTGTAGTATAGTCACTATACTATAGTGTATTCACATTGGAAAAGTGACAAAACAAAGTGTACTCAAACCAGATGCACACTAACAGAAGTTTAACTGGCAGTGATATTCTAAAGTCGCAGTTGATGGACTTCTGATGTTGCACATATTGTATCAGTTTGTGTTTTTATTCTAACTTTAACTGACATTACTGTAAGTGATGAGTATGTAGTATGAATTTAGGACACAGTTATAGACTTGAGTAATTCTGTCCAGCTGTACTATGTTGTGCCAAAGCCACTTCTCTCCTCTCTGCACTTCAGTGAAACTCTATAATCTTAGTGCACAAACACTGATGCATCACAAAGAGAAGCATTCACCACGTAGACAGGCAAAGGTAGCAAATGTAACACATCTCATGAACAGCCACACTCAAAGGCAGGGCCGAAGCCCGCTGCCATAGAGATGGGTAAGGCACAATGTATTGTACAGAATGGTGATAACATCACACACTTATTTCTGGACGGTTTGTAATCAAATGCGTTCAGTGTGATGTCGTCAGTCGTGTGAAGAATGAAGCTTAATCCTATTTTCACACTTTCATTTGTTGGATTTTCGGTTCAGCATTGTTACAAAAAGTATTGTCGGTAAATCTCTGATTCCATGTTTGCAGGTCTGATCTACTTCTTTAAATTTTGCAATGGTGACAATATGAGGTTCAACCGAGCTCTCTTTCTCTTTCTTCTGACTGCTCTTCCGTTTGTGTCCCAGCAGACTGGCTCACCGGGCCCAGTTCCCACAGCTACCTTGGTAAGAGTGGCGAAAAATGCCAACACCCTTGGCATTGCTATAGAGGGCGGAGCCAACACACGCCAACCATTGCCGCGCGTAGTCACCATTCAGGTGAGCAAATGATGCAACTGGGTTTGGCTGATTCATGGTTTGAAGCCGTTGTTTTGTTCCAATGTTCAGAGGTTTGAGACTGTAAATGACTCCAGTGTATTTAAGTTTTTCCTTTTTGCTTTGATATAAAATCAGTCTTCATTCAGCTTATGATCAATAGCTTGGATTTGTTTTGCGTGAAGAGGATTCTAATGCCATCTGCAAATATAAATCCTCCGCTTGATATGTCTCTCCTTCACCTTTCACATTATGTACAAAGAAGGCAGAGCATGTGTTTATAGACCTGTTCTGTAAATCACATGTTATGTGGAATATTTCTTTCCTGAGTATTGGTGTCACGACAGAGTCCCCCGTCTTTATATTCAGAGAATGCTAAGGGCTCTGGACATTGTTGTTCTGTCTTGGCTGACACGCCTCTTAAATGGAGGTCAGTGCCTGTGAAGTGGCAGACCAAGGTTTGTATTCCCATTTTTTAAAAAGGAGGACCAATTATCGCTCTAATTATCGGGGTATCACATTGCACATTCTCCCAGGTAAAGTTTATTCCAGGGTGCTGGAAACAAGGTTCTGACTTTAAAGCTGAAATACAGGAGGCATAATGTGGATTCTGTCCTTCCTGTGAAACATTGGAGCAGCTCTTTACCCTTGCAAGGTTGTTGGAGGGATCCTGGGAGTTTTCCCATCCAGTCTACATGTGTTTTGTGTACTTGGAGAAGACTCATGGCCGGTTTCCCCGGGAAGTTCTGTGGGGGGTACTGCAGGGATGTGAGGTAATTGCTACAAGCCATCCGGTTCTTGTGAAGGGAACCTCCCAAAGGGAGAGCTTTGTCCGTGTCCTCGGCACAGAGTCAAACACTTGCAGTTGGTGTTGAACTCGGCCAGGGTTGTCACTTGTCACCTAATCTGTTTGTGTTTTTCATGGACAGTATCTCAGGAGGGAGAGATGTGACACCTTTGGGGACACAAAAGGCTTTATACAATGTTTTACACATCCAATACGTTTCCAATATCACATGTATGGTGGTAGAAGTTTGGTGAAGTAGTGATTAGCCAGCTTAGAATATGCAATAGCTAGTTGGTCAAAATACAGTTGTTGAATACAATAGTTTGCTTGCTTCGGACAGTCGGTACAATAAACAGCTTAAAAATATAGCTGCTACTTGTGGCATCAGACAGTTGAGATGCTAAATGTTATGGTCCTTGTTCTTCAATACCACTGCTAACACTGCAGTCTGCTCTTGGCTTGTAAACTACAGTTAAAAGTGCATGTTGGTTTACACTGTGTCTGTGTGCCCCTTACAGGCTAGGACAGTGGTTCTCAACTGGTCTGGCTGCGGGACCCACCATCACCCCTTAATGACCCACCAGTTAAGAATCACTGGGCTAGAAGACTCTTTGTTGCTTGTTTCAGTTGCTGAGTTTCTGAGCTCATTCTGTTATTGTCTTAATTTAATATGACAAGAGTTAACACAAAAGAGAAAATGTGCATGCTAACGTAACAACATTTGTTATGGTGTGCGATCAGGCCAGGTTTTGCCAGGCTGTAGTCTTGCAGAGCCAGACCTTACTCCACAGCGCTGTGTCAGCACAAACACCATTATCATTCTGCTATAGGGGACAAAACACTGGTTTGTATTTCTTAAAACCAATCCTGGGCAGTGCTAAGCAGGATGCAGTCATGGTGCCATTGCAGAATAGATAGCGCAGAGAGCAGAAGGGGAGTAGAATGCTGTTGATGGAAGCTTTATAACCACAGGCTGCTGAGTTCTGGTCGGTTCAGAACTTATCCTCAGTGTTGGCAGGTGGTCTGATGCTTGACCAAGTGTCGTGTTCGGAAATCAAATGTTTGGCATCAAAATGTGTTCAAGTTTCCTGGACTCACACATGTACATCTTTAAGAATCCTTTGTTTTAATAACATTGATTTGAAATATGTCATAAATGTCAAGTATTAGCGTAACTGAACTCTTGTAACTTAACGGAACACTGATGTTGCCTGTTGGGGTGCTGAAACCCTTTAACATGTCAGGGCTTTACAAGAGGGAGCTACTAGACCTCAGCCTTGTGGCTGAGTTGAATCAGCTCAGGCTTAATGCCTTGATCATGCTGATGGTTGTAAAAGCAGCTGGAGGTGTATATGATTCACTACACAACTCAAAGAGTTTCTTGGCCAGTCTGCATAATTCATTATTATTGGTTTGTTTGCCTAGCAGTAACGCTTTTAGCTGCTTCTTTGTTATTGAATGTTAATGTAAATAAACAGCGCTGAGGATAGAACGTTGGCAGTTTTCCTGTTTGTCCTGAGTTGAGGAAGGATCATTGAATAGATGGTTGGATTAACCCATGTGGCTCTGTTAAATGGCCCTGTTGAAGAAGAGAAAATGGTAATGTGACACCATACACACAGAGAGACACACACACACACAAACACAGTCATAGATCACCTCAGTCATAGATCAGATATTTCCCTTTCTTAAATAGCTGACTAATCTTTCTAAATGTCAAGTATGAAAGCAGCTAACTGATTAAAGAAAACATCATTTTCAAGTAGGCGTAAAGAATGGACTGTGATTTGTAAATACTGACAATATTTCATTGTTTAGTATTTTAAAGCTGTATTAATTGATTTGTATTGGCTTTTTGGTGGCAGTGGAGCAAGCTGAAAACACAACATTGACATATTATCACCTTATCAAATTTATATTTTAATGTCACTTTTACCTCTGGTTTGGTCTCCACCAGCTCCTGAGTAACACACCTGCTCTTTAGCTGAACTTCTAAACAGCTAGTAGCATGTCTGCAGGTAGTGTGTAAGGGGTCAATGATTGCTATTTTCATTTCTGAAAAATGTCCCAGTTTTGAAGCAATTAAAACAATTAGCTAAATCCCACTGAAAAGCTGTGTCGAGCGAAGGGGAACTGCAGAGTTAGTGATAATTATCTGTGGGTTTGAAACAACCAGTAACACTTCTCACATTATACATCGTCATTTGTAATGTAAAAAAAAATATTGTTTTGTTCAACTTATTGAGTTTGTTGTAATTTAGTCTCTCCCTTTTTTAATTCACTATTATTCAAGATTTGTTTAACAAGACAAAACCATCAGAGAAATATCAAACAGCCTATATTCAGTAAACTGTACATTTATTACTGTTAGTTCTATATGATAGTAGAGGTGCAGCTACCGTGTCTTTAACTCCTCCTCAATTGTGATTTGTTCTTTAATTTTTTATATCTTTTTCTTGTTGTCACAACTCCAGGTAGCCGAGAGTTAAAACCAAAATGTAGACGAAGAGATGAAGAGGCAGCAGGAACAATTCAATCATTTAATGAAGAAAAATATGTTATAACCGGAAGTTGAAAAGAGGAAGGTAACAGGAGACGATCCCCGGCTCCGGCTCTGCTAGTCGCATGTCGATGTGTCCTTGAGCAAGACACTTAACCCCAAAATTGCTCCCGTAGCTGTGCCTACGGTGTAGAAATGTGATAGAATCTGAATTGTAAGTCGCTTTGGATAAAAGCGTCTGCTAAATGACTGTAATGTAATGTAATGTAATGAGACAATCCAAAAAGCCAGGAATGCTTAACACTGATGAACTGTGTTTGCTAAAGGTTGCTAACAGTGAAAGTGGTTAACTGGTTAAGATGACATAATTCCATGGTAGGAACATTAGGTGTTACAGCAGAAAGGCAAAAGGTTAGTGCAATAACTACAAGCATCAGTTAAGAAGGACACGATAGGTCTAAAATCAATAATTAAACAGTAAAAAGCTCAAATATAACTATCCATCCATCCATTCTCCTCCGCTTATCCGGGGTCGGGTCGCAGTGGCAGCAGGCCAAGCAGGCTGACCTAGACCTCCCTCTCCCCGGCAACATGTTCCAGCTCATTGTGGGGGATCCCGAGGTGTTCCCAGGCCAGCTGGGAGATATAATCGCTCCAGCATGTTCTGGGTCTTCCCCGGGGTCTCCTCCCAGTTGGACATGCCCAGAAAACCTCCAGTGGGAGGCATCCAGGAGGCATCCTAATTAGATGCTGAACCACCTCAGCTGACTCCTTTCAACGCGAAGGAGTAGCGGCTCGACTCCAAGCTCCCTCCTGATGTCCGAGCTCCTTACCCTATCTCTAAGGCTGAGCCCAGCCACCCTACGGAGGAAACTCATTTTGGCTGCTTGTATTCGCGACCTTGGTCTTTCGGTCACGACCCAGAGTTCGTGACCATAGGTGAGGGTCGGAACGTAGACCGACCAGTAAATTGGTCAGACCGTCTTCAGTAAGTCTTCACCAAGTCTTCACCAAGACGGGCCGGTGCAGCGCCTGCTTTACTGCTGCAGCCGCACCGAGCCGCCTGTCGATCTCCCGCTCCATCTTACCCTCACTCGTGAACACGATCCGAGGAGGCCAACAGGACCACATCATCTGCAAACAGCAGAGAGGCGATCCCGAGACCCCCGAACCTGACGTTCTCCGCCCCGAGGCTGCACCTAGATATCCTGTCCATGAAAGTCACGAACAAGACCGGTGACAAAGGGCAGCCCTGGCGGAGGCCAACACCCACCGGGGACGTGTCTGACTTATTGCCGAGAATGCGGACACAGCTCCTACTGCAGTCGTACAGAGACCGGATCGCCCGTTGTAACGGGTCCGGCACCCCATACTCCCGCAGCACCCCCCACAAGAACCCCCGAGGGACCCGGTCGAAAGCCTTCTCTAAGTCCAAAAGCACATGTAGACTGGTTGGGCCAACTCCCAGAATCCCTCCAGTAGTCTTGCGAGGGTAAAGAGCTGGTCCACTGTTCCACGGCCGGGACGGAATCCGCACTGCTCCTCTTGAATCCCAGGTTCGACAAACGGTCGGAGCCTCCTTTCCAACACCCTGGCATAAGCCTTCCCCTGGAGGCTGAGTAGTGTGATACCCCGATAATTCGAGCACACTCTCCGGTCCCCCTTTTGAAGATGGGAACCACCACCCTGGTCTGCTCGTCCATGGGCACTGATCCCGACCCCCATGTGACATTGAAGAGGCGTTTCAGCCAAGACAGCCCAACCGTGTCCAGCATCTCTTCAGCATCCCAACCGTGTCCAGCATGCCTTCAGCATCTCAGGGCAGATCTCATCCACCCCCAACATCTTGCCACCAAGGAGCTTTTTGACTACCTTAGCGGCCTCTGCCAGGGACATGGGTGCACCCCCATGTTGGTCGGGTTTAGGAGTTCCTCAAAGTGCTCTTTCCACCGCCTGACGATGTCCCCCGTCCAGGTCAGCAGTCCCCCCCCCCCTGCTGAGAACAGCCTGGGGTAGGCTCTGCTGTCCCTTCCTGAGCCGTCGGATGGTTTGCCAGAACCTCATTGAGGCCAACCAAAAGTCCTTCTCCATGGCCTCCCCGAACTCCTCCCATTCCCGAGTTTCAGCATCCGCGACCACCGCAGCTGCAGCCCTTCTCACCTGCTGGTACCTCTCAGCTGCTTCAGGAGACCCCTGAGCCAACCAGGCCTGAAAGGCCTCCTTCTTCAGCTTGACGGCTCCCCCGCCATCTGATCCAACTCCCCACCAGGTGGTGATCAGTTGACAGCTCTGCTCCTCTCTTCACCCGAGTGTCCAAAACATACGGCCGCTGATCAGATGATACGATTACAAAGTCGATCATAAATCTCCGGCCTAAGGTGTTCCGGTACCAGGAACACTTATGAGCCACCTTATGTTCGAACATGGTGTTCGTTATGGCCAAACCGTGGCTAGCACAGATGTCCAATAACGAGACACCACTCGGGTTCAGATCGGGCAAGCCGTTCCTCCCACTCACCCCCCGCCAGGTTTCTCCGTCATTGCCCACGTGAGTGTTGAAGTCCCCCAGGAGAACTATGGAGTCGGCAGGCGCCGCCCTTTCCAGGACCCCTCCCACCGACTCCAAGAAGGCCGGATACTCCGAACTGCTGTTTGGTGCATAAGCACAAACAACAGTCAGAGCCTTGCTCCCCGCAACCCGTAGGCGCTGGAGAGGTGACCCTCTCGTTCTCCGGGGAGAACTCCAACACAGCGGCGCTCAGCCGGGGGCTCGTGAGTATCCCCACTCCCGCCCAGCGCCTCTCACCTTGGGCAACTCCAGAAAAGGACAAAGTCCAACCCCTCTCCAGGATCTTGGTTCCAGAGCCAGTGCTGTGTGTGGAGGTGAGTCCAACTATATCTCGCTGTTTCCGCTCCACCTCATGCACCAGCTCCGGCTCTTTCCCCGCTAGCGAGGTGACGTTCCACGTCCTTAGAGCTAGTCTATGCCGCCGGCGATCGGCATGCCCAGGCCTCCGGCCTGGCCTGCCGCCCGGTCTGGATTGCACCCGACCCCGATGCTTGTCCCTGCGGGTGGTGGGTCCACAGGGTGGAAATATAACTAAAACGGTTGAAATCACATTATGCTAATAGGAAATAATGATATTAAACAGTTTAACAGTTTTGGTTTGTGTGATGTACGGGAAGCAGTGTTGATTGTGTGACAGCAGCAGGAAGGAAGGACCTGTGTTATCTTTCCTTTACGCACCCTGAGTGAATCAGCCTGTCACTGAAGGTGATTTACATACAACCTGCATGGTTGGCGAAGTGTGAGATACACTTTTTGTAGTCCATCTACGACATTTTTTTATCATGCAAGCCCCACGTCAATAACGTCCGGGGTCGCATTATAATTACGTAGCTTCGTGAAAGTAGAGTCAGATTCTCTAAACAATGAGGTTTCCTTTTCCTAAATCCTGAGGAATTCTCCTTCACATCTTTTCTTAACCTCACAATGTTTTCTGTTGAGGTCAAGGAGAAGTGGTTAGGAAAAGACATTAGGAGGTAATGTTTTTGACTATTCGACCGTAGCCAAAGGCTAAATACACCAGAGACTAATCAACCAATGAAACACAGGTATGGTAGAAGACAGGCAGGAAGACAAACCAAACATGGCACATGAGGAGTGTAGACATTCAGAATAAAACAGACTATCACGTCCCAGGACCATGACAATTTTGTTATGTGTTTTAGTCGTCTTCTTTTTTTTCGTAACATGCATTTACAGTCAATTAGCAATATGAAATATCCATGACTCGGATTACCTGATTCCTGGAAAAGTGAGAAGACAAATTGAATGAAGGTCTTGACTTGATCTCAACCCCTCAAAGTCTTGGTCTTGTTTTAGTCTCGAAACACTCTGGTCTTGGTCATGACTTGTTCTCGGATACAACACTGCTATCAACAGCTTCCTTTCACTCCATTTGTCTTTTTGTATAGAAAGAAAACCCCACCTGAAACCTTTTCCATTTCCATCACTCTATGGAACTGCAAAAGAATGTAACAGAGAAGGGCTTTATCCATTTATCCTCACTGCTACTGTCAGGTCTGTGCACCGTAATGCTCTCCAAGATGCCGGATAGCTCCAGAGCTGCATCCTGCAGCAGGATCAGGCCTTTGGAGAGCGCCATGGCATGATAATCATGACAAATACAGGCCCAGTGCCACATCCAACAGCTTCAGAAAGACTAAATAACAGCAACATAAGGTGACTGTTTAAAGAATATATGTATCAGAGCACTCACAGAAGTCATTCTAAATCATTAGGGGACACACTTTGAAACACCATGGAAACGCTTGTAACATGGTTGATATTGATTAAAAAAGTGGCAACTTGTGAAAGCACCAATGACACCAGTGGAGTTCTGTTCAATTCCCATAAACACTGCCATGTCCTCAGTGACTGCAGCACCTATCTGCTACCTATGGCCGTGTCAACAGGTGGGGCATCAAGCGCAGAAGGTATTCTCATGTTTCTACAACAGTAAACAGTCAAGAACAAAAAGGAAGAATGAAATTTCCCAAGAAAGTAATTAAAATAAACCTTCAACCCGAACATGTTTAAACTTCAGCAAGTTGCCTTGTACAGTCAGATCGACAGCAGGGACACAGGGTTCTACTGACTATTCACACATCATTATTGTCATATCATGAAATGGTGCTGTCCTCCTAAATGATGTCTCTGATGATCTCCCTTCCCTTTATGTCCCTGTTGACAGAAAGGAGGCTCTGCTCATAACTGTGGTCAGCTGAAGGTGGGTCAGGTCATCCTGGAGGTCAATGGTGTTTCCCTCAGAGGTCGGGAGCACAAGGATGCTGCTCAGATCATCGCTGAGGCGTTCAAGACCAAAGACAAGGACCAGATAGAGTTCCTGGTTGTTGAGCCAGGACTCTAGCGTGAGGACTCTGCACTTCATGCGGCCTTAGAAGAAAGATGATGTTTTATCAACTCCTCAACTCCTCGTTCTGATCGGAGGAAAGATATTTGATTATTGCAAGAGAAGGATATTACATTAATATTTGCCACAATAGTCATATGAGAATTAAATGCTGTTTTTCTTGTTTCACTCGTCTTCAAACCTTGAACTTTATTGTATGTTTTCCACAGGACTGAATTAGTACTGATACTGTGGGTGGCACAACAACTCATTTTAACACAGACAGTCAGTGAAGTCAGTCTTCAAGTGTCTCGTATCTGTTGTTCTTGAGACGGTATGTGGGGGGGGCAGAGCTGCTCTGAAGAAAGACATCTCTTCATGTGTAAATTGTGTAAATTACAGCAAGAATCTTATCTTATCTATAACATCGTACTCCACAAGTTAAATACTGTGATCTGTGAGCATGAGGCAAACAGGGCAACACGTGTTGAAAACAAGCAGTTTAGGAAGATTAGCTACTCATTCATTCTGAGGATGACATTAACAGAGAGAACACCCTAAACAGCAGCAGAGATCTGTCATCGCACTGAAAACATTCGGAGTATGTTCACTTTAATTTGTCCCAATAAAGCGGAAGCTAATCTCCCTAAACAGCTTCTAATGAGCTCACCACTCAACTGTAACACTTATTGTGATGTCACCATATTCTGAGAGCTATGGTTGAAGTGTAAATATTAATATCAAGCAGAAAGATGATATATATATATAATAGATAAATGTGCCGACTATGTATTTTTCAAGTTACTAAAAGTATAATATTTCATAATATGAGCTTCCCTGTGTGCTGCTCTCTGTTTATTGAGCTTCAGATATTATATTATATTTACTGGCAGCTCGACTGCAGCTTTACGGTTCATTAGAACAGAAGATGTTCTGCCGCCGGCCTCTGATGAGTTCACATGGACGTGAACGTCTGACGCCTGACCGACAAACTAAAACACACATTCATGCATTTATCATATCTCACACAGCATTTATTGGGAAATGTTTTAACAAGACTACATTGTCTCCCATTGTTCAGTGTTAAGAGAAGAGTTATTAAGAGGATCGACAGAATTCTGCCTTTCATTCTTTAATTTAATTCATCTACGAACAATCAAACAGATTTATACACAAGCAGCTCCTTCACAGTGACCAAAGTATCTCTCTAGTGCTATATGTACTTTATAACTACAACACAACTGTTCATTATATGACAGGTTGTATATAATGTAGATTAATATTACTCTACATATTTTTTATAATTTTAAATAGTTTACAATAGAATATAATTTATATTTCATAAGTTAAGACGACTTCATGCTCATATTTTATGTCTTCCCCAAATAGCTTGAAGTGCAGGACGTCCCATGTTCTCTCTCAACACGTGTAAACACCGACACAGTGCAGATCACTGATGTCCCGTGTTCTCTATAGAACCAGATGCAAACACACACAGTGCAGATCACTGATGTCCCGTGTTCTCTATAGAACCAGATGCAAACACACACACAGTGCAGATCACTGATGTCCCGTGTTCTCTATAGAACCAGATGCAAACACACACAGTGCAGATCACTGATGTCCCGTGTTCTCTATAGAACCAGATGCAAACACCGACACAGTGCAGATCACTGATGTCCCGTGTTCTCTATAGAACCAGATGCAAACACCAACACAGTGCAGATGAACGATGGTGCTGCTCTCTGTGGAGCGGCCGAGGACTGAGACTTGTTCTGCACAACTATGAGCAGCAGAGGCAGAAAGTCCGTCTCTCATTCAGATGTGTGCACAAGACACGACTGTAGAGTTTTCATATCTTAATATGCAGAAGACACGACCAGCTCAGACAGCATTCACTGTCTTAACAACTCTGGTAAAATAATAATATAGAAATAAAAGTGGATCTGCTGGGGGCCCATCGTGGTCATATAAAAATGACACTTTATCAGATCTGCCTGGCTGAAGCTAATGCAGCTCAGGGGCGTTTCTAGGATTCAAAGAAAGGGGGGGCTTAGCCCCAAGGGGAGTGGCAATTTGTTTTGAGGCCCATTTGGGGCCGTGGATATCCATTGTTTCAGACAGTTCATAGATTGGTTCAATCAGAAAGAGTGTGATTTTGCTCTGTAGTTTTGCTTGCATTCAGTATATGATAACACAAGAGACAGAATTTCAGGGTCATAGTGAAATTTCACAACACAAATATGAACTTTTCTCAAATAAAGAGAGAAATAATTTTCCTGCTTGTAAAGGAAAGACGGATAAACTAGCTTTCATATCCGCGTCACTCCCAAATCCTACTTCTTAAAGGGACCGCACACAATGGATGGAGAATGGACCTGACAGTGTCAACCTTTGAGTTGTTTACTTGTTTTATTATGAGCAGAAGGGAATAAGATTTTGATCAACATTTACATCTGTCTTGTTGTCCGTGTAGTTTTTACATACCAGTGATATTTTATGCTCATTTGGACACTATCACTGAGATAAAGATGAACTAGTTCAGTTAATGGAAAAAAAAAACATGAATAACAAAAATAAAAAAACACATTTCAAGTACATCTTAATTATCGAATGATAAATATTGTATGATGTGCTGAAATGGAAGGAATCTTCTTATATCCATCTGGTCAATGAATTGGATGATATACCGGTACAATAGCGTTATGAGGGACACTATGAGATTTAGCTTTCACTAGCATTAACTGATTATAAACAACAACATTCTATAGGGACTGATATTATTGTTTCAAAATACTAGAGAGATATATTAATGCAAAGAATAGAGAGATGTCGATAGTTATTTCTTGTATTTCGAATTCGCTCGTTCACACTCTTGCTCACTGGAGACAGTTTCTAACACAATAGCTAGCTAGCTAGCTTAGTGTTAACATAGCCTACTACAATACTCCCTTTCATTTGCCTCAAGTAAACCTAAATTTAAGCAGGTAACAACCGTTAACAACTACAGATAGACACATTCTGTAACTACCTGTACTTACAATGTCACTCCGTGCATCATGTACTTTGAGCTAAACTCCTTGGCTATAATCCTGGCTGTCGTTGACGAGAGACCTTACTTGGCAGAGTGAGAAAGCCAGCGCAGCAGCCTCCCCAAGGTCCTAGTGCCCGGGTCTATATTGTTCAGTATGATGATAGGCTGCTGGATTGTAATTTGAAGGGGGAGAAAACATACAAACCAGAACGCACGCACATACGTATGTAGCATGTTAGAGTTATAAATAACTTGTCCATGTGAGAAACAATAGTTTAATTTAATGACATCACCAAAATAAATATATATATTTTTTATTTATATATTTGTTTTTAAAGCCAATAATGCCAAATTATTTGGGGGGGCTGAAGAACATTTTAGGGGGGCTTATTATAATATAACAACTCTGCAGTAAATCCTACATTCAGTCAAGTATTTATTTCCAACTGTGGAACCTTCAAATCATGCTATCCATGTAGACATGTAAACATGTAAACATGTAAACATGTAAACATGTAACACCAACAACAGATCAGCTAAACAGAGAATGAAACACTGAAATGAGACGAGCAACGAGCAACGAGCAACGCATCAATACAAAACACAAACATGGTATTCAACACAACAACATATGGAGACGTAGATGATCACAAGAGACCGGTAAAAACCATCTGACACAGACAGGAACTCAAGCAGACACGCAGTGTTGGAGAAAGTATTCAGATCATAAAGTAACATGATTAATATCACACTATGAAAATAGTCCAGCACAAGTAACCACAACTTAAGAAAAAAACAGAAGTTATATATAGAAGTGTATCAGCAAAAGAATAAAAAGCATCAAAAGAAAAAGTGCTGATTGTGCAGTAAAATGTCCCGTCATAGTATTACTGTTATATATGCTGATTGTGTACTAATTATGCTGCTGCATTAATGTGCACGTTAACTCACAATGAATCCACAGATAAACATCTTAAAGCTGGAGTGCAGAGATGTGTTGATCTGTAGATGCAGAACACGGATGTGTATCATTCTCAGTGTTGCAGTTGTACATCGGAGAAGATCAAGTTAAATCCAACGATCTCACACACAAGATGCTTTCTGTTAGTCACACCGCTGTATAAGAAAGAACGCTGCGTCATCGGGTTTATCTCAGCTACAGATATATGATCACAAGATAAAATGTTTAGAATGCAGAGGTGAAGTTCACCATGAAAGGTAAATGAACATTTACAACAGAAATATGATATTGTTGCATTATGGGACATATGTTTCTGTAGCTTCAGCCATGCTACGGACTAAACTCAGGATATCAGTCGCTGCTGCAACAATCTGAAGAAATGTGTCAAAACAATTGTTTCTACAGCATTTATATTTCAGAATCAAACTTCAACAATTACAACTTGTCCTCATTTATATTCTTCTATATCTTACTGAAAGTTCCTGCTCATCTTTGGGTGCGATGGCATCAGACGCCGAGCGGCAACGGTCAGTAGTTGATGAGTTGGGGGGGGGACTGGCTTCAACAGTCAGTCGTATTTTCGGTAAGTCGGCTTTTATTTGGTCTGTTCCAACAAAAGCTTTTGCTTCTTCGATATGATACAAATATTTGAGTAACTGTTCTTTACTTTAACTATGATCCACAGGAGAGACTATTTATGTGAGACAACAGTAGAACATGCTTTCAAAAGTGTAAATTGGGCAGATTCTATGATTATATTCTACAATGGTCATACTATATTTTTTTACTCTGACATAATCACACTACAGTGATAGTTGTGACTTTACTGATTAGATGAACGAGGGATGAAGTGATGGTGAGAATATTGAATGATGTGTAAATGACACTATGTGTTTTTGGCTTGTTTCTGTGAATGCCAAATGTTAAATAATTATATATATTTTATGGAAACATATTTATTGTTGGGAAAAATCTAAATGACTAATTAGTATGCGTTCAAATGATTAAGGAATGTTATACATTTAACATAGTCCTCTGTATTGTTTAAGGCCTGTGTCCTTGTGTGAACTGTCTGGGACACCAGGCGTCTTCAGCAGATGTTTAGTCTATTAAGAAGCAGTTGATTGCCGAAAGAACACTTCAGCTGTTTGTCCTGAATAAGAATGATAATAAACTTGTAGAAAGCGTCAATACTTACGCAGGGCTGATTTGCGACCATGATTTACGAGAAAGTGACCTTTGTACTAGAACGAGTTGTTGGGGTGTCCAGATGTGTGGACGCCTGTGTGGGGTGCGGGATGTGTGTGCGTTGCCCTGTGCCGGCCCACTGCATGTTGTTTACTTAGTATAAATATCAGAGACTCGGAGACAGATCTTCGAGCAGCCTTGATGCATAACCTGTTTGTGTTTCAAGTCTCTTCCTTCTTGCAAGAATAAATGTCCATTGCTTAATGATTTTTACACCAGTCTCGCCTGAATTTTTCTAAAATAATGGTCCTTCGAGAGCCGGATCTCTTCAGCTTTGAACCTGAAACTGTGCACAGGCGAGCCGAGGTCTCTCGGAGAAAGTCCTCTGCCCTATTCTCACACGAGAATAGTTTGGCAAATTGAGAGGCCAGGATCTGCTGAGGAGGAGACGGAGTGACGAGATCCTTTTGGTGAACCAGACTGGTGAAAATCATTTCTTTTGGACATATTCCTTTTTATGAGACTAGAACTAAAAAGAGAGTGTGTAAAAATAAGTAAACTGAGGGAGGATTGAGATTCCTTCTTCTTTTTACTATAAATTTAAAAAAATAAATAAAAAAGGGGGGGGGATTTGAGATTAGTCTTCTTTTTACAAAAATAAAAAATAAATTAATAGGAAGCTAAAAGAGAGTTACTCAATTCCTTCCCTATAAAGTAAAGATAATAATTAAAACTTTTGAGAAGAATGGGGTCAAGTGCTAGCAAAGACAGTGAAGATGAGACTTATAGGGGAGAGATTAAATACATGAAGATGAAGAATGAGGAAAGTGTTGAAGTGACTAATTCTCCTGATTTGTATCCAAGCGTACATCTTTGTGAGGTGTGTGCGAGACGGTCTCCTCCGGATGTTCCCCCACCCTCTGCTTCACCCCCAGATCTTCCACAGGCAGCAGAGCTTGCTCAGACTTCACGGGCTCCCAACCATCCGAAGACTCCTCTCCTCTCTCTCCCGCCTCCCACTGTCCCGGAGGCTCTCAGACAAAACACAGAAACAACAACTGAGCTCGCGACGGTACTGAGGAAAGTCATGAGCGAGACTTTTGATAGACCGCTCTACGAGCCAGAATCCACCAGAAGGGGCATAACATACGGTAAGCCACCTTTACAAATGTCGTACAATCCAAATGCTACAGAAAACCTAACTTTGGCAATAGTCAAGGACTGTACTCAAAACTCAGACGAATCAGTTTCTACTTCAGCAACAGTGCTGAATAACCAAAAGAAAAAAGGCAAACAGAATGCTGACACATATGTTGTTGACTATGATGATGGTAATGATGAAGTGTCTGAACATGTTTGTTCTAATGTGTATTTCCAAGATAATCAAAGACGTGGAGCCTTCTGCGGACGGAGCGGAGGACGAGGGAAGAGCAGAGGAGGAGGAGGGTTCGGAGGAGGGAGCAGAGGAGGAAGGAGCAGAGGAGGAAGGAGCGGAGGAGGAAGGAGCGGAGGAGGAAGGAGC